CTCATTTTATCCTCTGTTTTCCTATTGCAGAGCTTCAGTCGAGGATGCTGCCCTGTCTATCTGTATGTTTCCATCTGTCGGCCATCCTTCGGCCTCCTGGGCTTAATTCAACTCACCTCAACCCTGTGCCTAGTTCAATTCCTTATCTTTGTGTGGCCTGATCCTCTCTACTGAACTCTGTCTCTCTGTTTTGGTATTCAAACCCATTCTGTAGCATCAAACACCTTTAAAAAGAGGCACTGGGTAATGGTAAAATGCCTCAGGGACACCAAATCATTGTTCGGCTTCATACCTAGCTTTGTGCCATTTGCCTAGCATATTACTCTCTCTGGCATACACATTCTTTACTCCGGATCCTTTGGAAATGCCACCTTCCATCCATCAAGTTGTTCTTCCCATATTGCTACAGAAGGTAAGAGAATGCCAGACAACTAAATCATTGTGGATTCATTTTGCTGAGAATTAACCTCATCAATTCACCTTTGCCAGCCAAGAAAATTCAAGCTAAAATCAGGCTCCTTAAACTCTTTAATTCATTAAGAATTTTAACTCATGACTTGCCCTTAATTCTTTTGGTTTATAATCTTAGGTCACTGGTTATTGCTTCAAACCAGGCAGCCCATGAGGTCTGATATTTGGCACTTCTCTCCCAGCCTTGTCATTGGATCCCCTTCTTGACCACCATTCATGTTTCATCAAGTGATTGTCCTTCTTTCTAATCTTATAGATTACAATAGATTACCAGCGCACTTTGCCCGGTCAGTTCAGTCTGTTCACTATACCTTAATGAATGGCCCTCAATATCCAAGCTTAGTTAACTCAATGATCTTTAAAATGTCACTCACCTAGTATCTTCTCAACGGGCCTACCACACTACCCTATTTAAACCTGCAAAGATTTCTTCACCCTAGCACTCCTGATTACTTTTACTCTGATCTAGATTTTCTTTCTCCCATAGTACTTATTGCCTTTTAGTATGTAATATGATTTTATGTATTTATTATCTCAATATTCATTGTGTGTCCTACCCTGCTGTAATACAGTGTCACGAGGGCACAGCTTGTTCTTATATTCCCAGAACATAGAATAATTCCTGACACACAACAGGCAGACAATAAACCATGATTGAATGACCTATCTAGAGTTCTGGTCCAAGTCTTTCTCACTGAGCTAAATGGTAGCTTCTGTTTCTTCTTTGAAGTTTGTGAGTCTCCTTGTAGAAACTGATACTCAAGAAGATGACTAAAAAGCATGTGATAAAATTTTATGTTGAACTTCTTTGCTATATTGAGTAAAATAATAAATGCCTGTTAGAAGGAGCTTATTCTTAGAGCTTATTAGAAGGAACTTAAATTAAATAATAGATGATGAAGCAGACAAGTGTAGACTTGCCTGTAAATGAGGAAGAGAATTCTACTCTGTACATTGGTACCTTTTTCACCCTGAGATTTGACCAGTAGTAAAATAGTTTTTCTAGTTCATAAAATTTCAGATTCTATCTAATATAATTCTATCATAAATTATTGCTTTTCTTCCTTCCCTACTTTTAGGTTCACATTTCATTTTTACTTAGCTTGCCTAAGATTTCTTTAAACAATTTAGTAGAATATGAGCAAAATAGAGATCTTAAGATGTTAGCAAGAAGGTTAGCAAGATGTTATAAGAAACTAGGAGAATGTGTACTTAACAGTCTCCATTTTCCTACAAAGCATACTAGAAAGAACACTGCGTTTTGTTCACTTCTTATTAATTGGGCAAGGTAGTTAAACTATTAAGACACAGGTTCCTCATCTGCAAAATGGGGGCAATAGGAGCCTATCAAGTTCATGGAAGGGCAAGTGAGAATACATACAAGAAACTCCAGGCACACCATCTGGTATGTCAGGAATAATTAAAAATGCTGGTGACTACTGCTTCTAGATTTGAGTGTCGAAGTCCTGTCATTCATTTTAATGCTTCCTGAGTTGCTCATGAATGTGACACATATGTTCGCTCTACCCATGATGTCTCCCTCCATGTTCTACAAAGTTGTATCGTGAACGTGACATGTATGTTCGCTCTACCCATGATGTCTCCATCCATGTTCTACAAAGTTGTATCATGAACGTGACATGTATGTTCACTCTACCCATGATGTCTCCCTCCATGTTCTACAAAGTTGTATCGTGAACGTGACATGTATGTTCGCTCTACCCATAATGTCTCCCTCCATGTTCTACAAAGTTGTATCCACAGGCATTCCCCAACCTCTGCTCACACTCTCACCATTCTTTCACTTGCATTTTTCTGTCAACTCAAAATCTTCCTGCTGTTTTTGGGAACAAGCAGGTCTGGAAAACTGTGTTAATGGAATAAAAGTCCTATAGATACCCATCCAAGCTTAGCAAGCAAGAGAGAATGCTGTGATCCCTCATTGTTGCCTAGCACTGGCCTGGCCTAAGTAGTGCGTGGAGCAAATACAAGGCACTGGCCATCCTCAGCTAGGATGAGATAGACGCAGAGGGAAGGGGGAGAGAAGTCACCAAGAGGGCTTTCAGTTGAAGAGAACATAACATCAATTGTGAAAAGTCAAGACAGCATAATGTATTCAGAGTGATGAGATCTCTACAACCAATTTGATCATGAGGAGGCTCTGTTCCTGGAGAAATTGACAATACATTGAGAAGAGAAGGCAAATTTCTTTATGGGAGCTGTGAATATTAGAGAAAGAGGGATATGGCTGAAAATAGAAAGGTCCATTTTTAAATCACTCTGTGAATGGAACAAGATGGAGAAAAGCCCATCTTTTACTTAGGACAGTCTATAAAAGCTAAGAGGGGAGGAACGGGTATTGACAGAATTAACGAGTTCTCTCTGCACCATTCCCTGGGCTCTTCGACTCGGACAAGGACCTCATGTGTCCCAGGGAACTGTGGCTGGAGGAATGACAAAGTCTCTGACCTTGTCAAAATGTATTTCTGTCTGAATCTGGGCATGGCTGTTCATCTTGGGAGATAATCTCTGTTCATGGTGTGAACATTTCTTTGTGGACGTTGGTGAATACATCCTTCCCAAGACAACTCCCCAAAGATGTCATTCTCTGAACTGAGAAAGAATTGTTTTCACACACAGGACTGTGAGTTCTGAGACTGTCCAGAGGAGTTTAAATAAATCCTCTTGACAGAGCCTCAGAATCTTCTGTCAATTTAAATGATGACCTGTTCCCTTAAATCCACAGGCCTGTAAATAAGCCTGGGTTTGTTTAAATCCAACAAAAGATTAGCTCCTTTCCCAATGGAAAAGTCACTTCATTTCTAGACTGAAATAATAATAATTGTTCTTTCTTTCTTCAGCTAGTAGCTTGTTTCCAATCTTTGGCAGTATACAGCAGACATTTACTGAGACATTAGCATACAGGCTTTGAGAAACATTGTTTATGTTAAAAAAAGAATGAAAAAGCCAACCCCTCTGATAACAGACTTAGTATCCCATTTTATGACTAAGACCAGACCTTGGAGTTATGTTATTTTAATTTCCAGAAATAAATATAAAATCAATATTACTTAGTTCTAATCTTATTTTCTTCTTTTAGAGCTTGGAATAAACATCTCTACTTCCTGTTCTCAGGTCACCCTTGGGCGTTGATTTTTCTTCTCTTTTGACAAATACTGTTCTAAATGTTTGACAAAAACCTAGAATGCTCTTCACTTCTCTGTCTAAATCTTACTCATACCCCAAGAATAACGTGGGTTGCCAATTTGCAAAAGCTGTCTCTGTCTACCCAGGAGAATGCCATCTTCTTTACCTCTGAATTCTTCAAGACTCACTGGAAACCTGTTATTTTCTCTTTCATGTGTAATAATCTGGATATGTGCATAGCTGTTGTCCACTCAAGTGGATTGTGAGTAATCCCAAATATAGTCCAGGCAACACTTACTGCAATGGGCTGAATTGTATCCTCCCACTTCCAAAATCTTATGTTGAATTCCTAAACCCCAGTACCTAAAATATGCCTTTATTTGGAAATAGGGTTATGTAAGTAGCTAGGTTTAGAGGAGTTCGTACTGAAGTAGGATGAGCCCCAAAATCCAATACAACTGATGTCCTTGTTAAAAAGGGGAAATTAGGACACAAACACCCACGTAACAAGGGCGTCGTTTGAACACAAAGGCAGAGAAAGACTCAATTCCACCAGCCTGTTGGTCACAGATTTTTTGCTCCAGAACTGAGAGACGGTAAATTTCTATTGTTTTAGCAACTCATTTTGTGGTACTTCGTGACTGCAGTGCCAGCAAACTAATACACCTACAATCAAGGTCTTGCAAATTATGTCTTGGTATGATATTGGGATTCAAAAAATCTAAATATTCTAACAAAATTTGTGACACAATCAACTACATATCCCCTCATCTCCCTGAATCTTAGTATCATCACCTTAAAACTGTATCAGTGACAATGCCTGCTTTGTCTCCTTTACTTTGTGAGAATTGAATCCAATCACACATGTAAAGTCATTTTTAAGCTGTAAAGCACCTGACAAATGTTAGCTGCTACTACTTTTTGTAGAGAGCCAGTGAATTGCTGTTGATGGGTTGAATAAAGGGAAATTAAATGTTCCTGGTATGAAAGAAAATATATTTAGAAATTATTATTAATGATGACCCCAAAAATGCTGATCTTGAGAAGGACCCCCACCTAGTTAAGGCTAATTAATATAAATGCTCACAAGTACTGTGTCTAAAAGGGTTACTTAAGGTCAGAATCATGTAGATTGCATGCTCTAAGGGTTGATATTTAGGTATGGTCCTCTAATCAGCAGTATTGTATCACTAAGGAACTTGCTAGAAATGCAGAATCCCAGTCCCATCTCTAGACTTGCTAAATCAGAGTTTGCACTTAACAAGATCCCCAGGTGACTTGTATGCATGTTAAACTATGAAAACTGTTCTAAAATACATCTCTTATGTAATCCATATTCTTAGAACATAAAGAATATAATAATTGATAAATATTCTTTACAGCCAATGATGTGCAATATTGGAAGAAGCCCAAGCTTTGGAGCTCGACAGATCTGATTTCTTATCCCACATCCACCACATAGTGGTGCCATGAAATCATGGCAATATGGCATGACCTCAAACAAGATAATTTACCTTGCAACATTTCAGTCTTCAAACATGTAAAGGGGCCTAGTAGTATTTAGCTTGCATGGTTCTAGAAGACAAGAGATAATGTATATAAACCAACAGACAAACAACAAGTACTCAGAAAATGCCTGGGGTTCTGCAATGCTAACATGTTCCCATTCTGGCACTTCATTTCTGATTAATCACTGCAGAGAAAGAAATTAGATTTTCCAGGGACATCAGGAATCCCAAGGACTTTTATTTGTAAACTTCCTCTAGGAAAAGGTACTTTACCACTTGAAGAATAAGAGAGATTTGCTTCTCTCTGTGCCAATATTTTCAAGAGAAAGTCTCTGAGTTTTTCTGCACCACCAGCCTTCCTTTGGGGTGATGGAGCCATCCCTGAGGTATATGGCATATGTTGCACCATCACCTCCTCTGTCTCAGATGTCATGGAACCCCCTGCTAAAGGCAACAGCCGCACAGAGATCTCCATGGGAAACACCTCTTCTCCATGCAGCCAGTGCAAGCGCCACTGAGCAGGAGCATTCCACTCCTGTGGAGACTGCTGTCACTTGATTTTATTATTTTGATCTTTTGAGCATCTTTTCAATGCCAGCAAAAGTCAATATGTTCTTCTGGGAGAAGCCATCAGAGCATTGGTAATGAGCCGTGCAAGAGGCTCTGTCATCTGCATCAACTCTGGGGAAATAGAGGCACTTTGTTCCTGAGACTCACATGGTGTGACCCACTTGCTGTGTGAGATGTTAATATTTTGCTTCGTGCTTGGCTCCTAGTGCCACTGCCAACACTAGAAAGCTTGGGGGAGTTTGCTGTACATTTTGTGAAAACTGACTGGCACCAGGCCAGATGTCAGTGTGTGAATCAGAGCACTTCTCTGGAATTCGTGACTGTTCACTTTATTCTTTAGAAACTCCATGGAAGCTAAAATGTGTGTATTTGGAGAGAGTGATGCTTGCTCCTTTGTCCTCAGTCAGGTGACAATACCGTGTGGCGAGTGGATGACGATGGACGTCAGGGATCACTTTCTCTCCCTGGCTGCAGCGGAATGCTCACACATACCAATTACTTCCTTAAAATCTAATAGCTTCTACACCTTCCTGATGTAAATACTACCAATTTTCCCAATGAATCCAGAGGCATTGATCTATTCTGTTCTGCTGTTTTCAAACTCTGGCAATTCTCTGTATTTCCTTTTTAAAGTTTTCAACATTTTGCTGAAATAAAGGTAATCTTTGGATGTATTGACTATTTATTTAAAGAAATATATTTAAATGTAAATTAATGGTGTATACATTTATTTACTTACTAATTATTAACACCACATAATGTATTTGTATATTCTATAAAACATAAATACTATGTACAATGTTTATATGTTATAATACAGATACCATGTGTATGTATATATATATTATAATGTCCTACAATACATAAATAATATAGAATACATGATTATAACATTAAAATTATACATTACATGTGATATATAAAAATCTTTATTTAATTGTAATCATAGCATAAAATAAAAAATAAATGACACAGTATATGCAAATGCTTGGTTCTTCTCCTTTCCATCCACCCTTTATAGGGATGTTTTAACAAATCCCCCACATGGGATGTGTATTATTATCAGTATATTTGGATAAGAGGCAGATATGGGGAAGGAAAGTGGAATAAAGAGAAGGCACTTTGGATTGGGGGTACTGAGACCAAAAGGTAGAGCTATCCTCCAAAGAAAGATGGTCTCTGAGCAGGCCAAGGAAGAGGGACCAGATGAAGCTGTAGCTTTGGAAAATAAACAAAATTCACTCTTAGGAAGTGCCATCCAATAACAATAGAGAATAGCCAAATATATCCCAACTGGAAAGAGGCAGTTAATCTAGGTTACCATTCAATGTGGCAGAGGTAATGGGAGGAAGCTATTACAATAAGAAGCATAATTTTAATACTGATGACCCGTGCATTTTGTAAAGTTCTTTGGCAATTTAAAAACAACTTCAGATATATAAGGGAGTGTACTGATGTCTGAAAATTATTTGAAGATGCATCCAAAAGGAAGATGAATTGCCGAATAGAATGATGGATACATGGACACTAAGTAAAAAGCAAGCAAGGTAACATGCTAATCATAGACTTTCCCTAGACAGGTATAGAGATGTTTGGTGTAGTTCTTTCAGCTTTCCTCTATGCTTGAAAATTTTACAGTAAAATGTTGGGAAAAAGTGACTTCACAATCTTGGGAGCTAGTTATCATCTTCCTCATTTCCTTCCTGAGGAAATTGGAGCTCAAAGAAGTGGTGTGTGTGGACGTAGGTGTGGCAAATCCACTGGGACATGGAAGTTAGGTGGAAACTTTGGAATTCAAATTCCAGTTTCTAGTATGAGGTCGAAAGTAGTTGGATTGCTGGGGTCAAACAAGTTCAGCTGTGGAACTGTTCTGTGTCCAAGTCTCACCTGTACACTTTCTTATAAACTTGAAAAGTATCATCTTTGGCGGTCTGAGCTTCAATTCCTCACTTAGGATAGGGTCAAATAATGCCTATCTCATAAGATTGCTTATGAATATTAAACAAGTGTGGGGAAAATGGAAGTGCCTATGCCCAGGATTCTCACCTTACCCTAAACTACTTGATGCTATAATTGGCTTACTGCTAGGCTACTGCTTTCACACCCATTGCCAATGAGCTATTATTGACTGAGTCACTATGTAAAGAGCTCTGTGGGCAGAGACAGAGATGGAGGTGGGTTATGGGCCTGCACACTGATGGATGCAGACATGATCCTAGCGCTTGACCTACTGCCATGAGGATAAACCCTTTTACCCCAAGAATGTTCTATTGTCATTTCTTGGTCTCACTGAATCCATAGTGGACTTGCCTGGGACTGAAACCCTCAGGCCAGACAACAAGAAACTCCAAATAAACGCGTAGACTTTTACTTTAAAACCCAGATGTATATCTAGTCTTTCCATTCTCAGAGTCAAAGTAGCCCCAAGGCAAGGCAGGATGGAATGAAGATTATCTTGGAGAATTGAACTAAGATGCTTATATTCTTGGATTTTTCTATTTCCAAAGAAAATAGCCACTGCTCTTTATTTTTAAGGATATTTGTTCCACAGGCATGGGATCCCTTTGTTTTGATTTTTACTGGTCAATAGAATGACAAATCATGCTTTTTTGCATTTTAACCACTGTAGTCACATATGCATTATTTCTGCTCTCCTAATCTTTGTGTTTAGCACTTTACGATTGTCAACAGCAGTTTTCTCTTCCTCTGTTTCCATTTCTGTTTACTCTCTTCTCTATGATTTTTAATAAAAATGTTAATTAAGATCCAGCCCAGGACTGGCCTCATGTTGCTTTATTACTCAGCACTCAGGGTCCCTAACTCCTCTGCCCCTCCGAGCACCCGTAAATGGAACTTTCCCTTTCGTCAAGAGTTTTGTTGAACTTCATAGTCGAGTCTTGGTTCCAATGACTTGGATTTTATTTATGGTAACTGGGAAAAGAAATCTGTCCTCAACTTGCAATACTGGCTCAAATTGCTCCCTTAAAAAAATCTAAACTGCTTCATCTGTTAAATTGCCCTCTTCTGCTAAACACGCAAGCTATTTCTATGTCTCTCTACCGTGTATCCCCCTCTTTTCCTCAGCCCTGGTTATCTCTGCCTCTGCAGTTCATCCTCCCTGTCTGTGTCTCACCTTCAGGTCACACTCAGACAGTTGCCACATGGATCAGAATCATCTGGGGAGCTCCATGGACACATTTAAATCAGGGTTGTGCCTTAGAATATTCTGGGGAGACATATAAATTGGAACCAGCTATTCTAATTGACTTTATCTGGGCGGGAGTCATGTGTTGGCAGTTTGAAAAGATTTCCAGGTGCTTCTATTGAGCAGGCAAGATGGATACTGTGGAGAAAGCCAAGGTTCCTGTGGCCAAGATTTTCACCTGACCTGGTCTGCTTGCTCATTACATATATGTGGGCAATATGTTGTTATTGACTCTATATTAAGAGCTCTACCCAGTGCTCTGGGCTGCACAGCTGCACGGGTACAAGACTGCAGGAGAGCAGAGGCTGGAGTGGTGGCAGTGCTGAGGACAGAGACCAAGATGGCTGCAGGGACAGAGGGGCCCAGAGGTAGAGACAGGCTTGCTGCCTGCAGACTCACTCTTGAGTAGACGGGATTCTAGTGATTGATCTGCCACCGTGGGAATAAAGTTGGGTATAAATCCTTTCACTCCAAGAATGTTCCACTGTCCTTTTATTTCACTCTTATTGAATCCACAGTGAACTTGCCTGGGCTGAAACCCTTTGCAAGACAGATATCCACTAAGTTAGTGAATCAAATTTCTTAGAAGTGGCAGCAGTCCAGAAAATGGTGTTTCTACCAAGTATGCACCCCTCCAAGTACTTCATGTGTCCAAAAATATGAGACCACCTGGCCTTGATTATTTTTAAGGTGGGGGAAAATTAGAAATATCTATATGACAGCATTGCTGTGGTCTTTGATTTAAAAATACATGCCAGTGACTTAGAACATGTTTCAGCAGTAACCCTTGTTATTGTTTTTATTGCTTATGATTTAAAACTTTTTAATTTATCCTGGGAAAAATATTCAAAGGAAGCTAATCTGTCCAAGGTTGTAACTAGTCAATCACATAACAAGCACTTAAATTCAAGACTTCTGTCATGTAATTCACTTTTTATCCCCACTTCTCATTTCCATCACATTATACCATTTATTTGCTTAAAAGAATAAGTTGATATATAAAGCAACCCACTGACATTAGTTTTATGAAAAGCCCCAAGTAAGGGATAAGGAACTTTTCAACACCAAGTGTCAAATCTTTCCGTGTCTCTGTGCCTTGGCTCATGGTGTGCTGGGTATGGTGGTCACTGTTTAGTTAAATCTTTATTTCAGGTCCATTTCAAATGCCACCTCCTGAATGGCCCATTTTTCTGTGTTCCCACTAATGTCTCTCTTGCAAAGATGCATTGGATATTCTGTTTCCTAGTTCCCTTTGAGGGGACCTTCTTTTATCAAGTTTACATTATAATAACTCAGACCATTTACTGGCACTGTGCCCAAGACATAGCAGATAGGTCATTAACATTTTTATTAAATGAATGAATGAATGGGCAAATGTCTGGTTGGATGGACTGATGAGTAAATAATGGAATGCATTTTTGTTCCTGGGCTTGGTCTTAAGTCATACATAACCCAATAACCTAACATCATAAAGTAGAGACTGTCAGAGACCCAAGCTATTCTTAGAAATTGTATTGGTCTATGGTTAACCCCGTTATTTAATTCTCATGATTTATATGACCATCTACTCTGAATTAAGGGTTGAAAATTTAGTGCTTCCCTAGCATTGCTAAGAGGAACAGTTTGGTAAGAAGTGGAACTGAGATTTTAGGAAAGTCACATGGTCTCTTTTGGACTCATCTCTAGAAGATGTTGCCGGCATTG